GCCATCTTCTGATGTGGTAACAAGCATAGTATGTGATCTTAAGGATTAGATGAGCGTTAAACAAACTTATAGCTTCTTAATCAAGCTCTGTAATCTTTTGAACTCTGGTGTTGGAGAAGACTCTTGAGAGTCCCTTGGACTGTAAGGGGGATCCAACCAGTCCATCCTAAAGGAGATCAGTCTTGGGTGTTCACTGGAAGGACTGATGCTGAAGCTGAAACTCCAATACTTTGGTCATCTCATGTGAAGAGTTGACACTTTGGAAAAGACCCTGATGCTAGGAGGGATCAGGGGCAGGAGGAGAATGGGACGACAGAGGATGAGATGGCTGGATGGCATCACTGACTCAATGAACATGAGTTTGGGTAAACTCTGGGAGTTGATGATGGACAAGGAGGCCTGGCATGTTGTGATTCATGGGGTCGCAATGAGTCGGACATGACTGAGCGACTGAACTGAACTGAACTGAACTGAATCCTGGGAGAAGTGTCTTTGACTTGTTTATCCTGGTCACCTTTAGGAATGCTTTCAAAGGGCTACATTACTGAGGATGGATGTAGGTAGGAGAGTGAAGCCATTTTCACTTTGCCACTTGCCTTCTCTGTGAATAGACCATTCCTCTTCTCTTTATGTCATACTTTTTGTCTTCAGATGAAGGTTGAGGATTTTGGATGTGTGTGAATGCATGTGAAAGCCCCATAAAACTGAAAACAGGGAGTACAAATTTTCCTCTTTGAATCAGATCTCAAGAATTTTGGTTTTATGGATCTGCATTATCTGAGCATATCAAATATTCATAAAATTATTTTATGATAATTGCCACACAGAGTTGAAGACAGAGGTCCTGTACAGTCCTCATATTAGCAGTGTGGTGGGACTGGGACATTTAAGGTATTATGTAAGAAGTATGTGGACAATCTTATAAATTCCTTCTATTTTAACTGTCTTTCTGATACACTTGGGAAGGGGGAAGGCAACTTTTACCTTGTGGGAACAGAATTCCAGATTTCATCCTTAGTTTCTTTGATTCCCAAGAATAGTCTTCGGTATTGGTGAGTGTGCAGCCTCATATAGGAAGGTAGTATCTTATTACAAGAAGGCCTGTTTGAAACTCCAGGCATCTACTTAGCCTTCTTTGGTACTGCCATATTAGCATGTGGGTGTTTTGTTATTGCCAGACATAATAGACATCTCAGGTCCCACTCAACTTTTGCTAGGCTGATTGGGAAAACACCATAGTTTTTAACTATGTTTGGGTGCAGTCGCTTGGTGTTTATTGAAATGCTTTCAACCTTTGCAACACACCGATTTTTCTTGCCCTTTGAAATGTGAAAGCAGACTTTTAAATAGTCACTTTAATTTGTGCCTCTTTCTGTTTTTGAATTAGCCATTTCATCAGCCAAAATCTCTAACATAAAGTTCCAAAAGAGAATCCAGACATATACTCACAAGCATATTCTTAATCTGATGCACACACACACACACAAACAAGCACAGTCACAATCTTATATGCTCAAAACAGAGTTATGAAATGAAAAGAAAACTCAACTCAGTGAAGGACACCTATGAATTACACAGTTTCCTTGTTACTTGTTTCTAGGCTTAATGTTAGAAGTTATTTTGTAGATTAATGATTTCACTCTAGTGACATTTTAAATCAAAATGTTTTAAGTAATTAGCCTCCAACTAGTAAAAATAAACTAAAAAAGAAAAAATAAAATAAAAAAATAATAAAAATGAATAATCTATATTCCCCATTAAAAAATAAATAAAAGATATACCTTTGTTTGCATCCCATGGGATCTTAGAATATTTTCTGTGTAATAAAATTCTGTGATTTGCTAAAATGAAAATAATGTTGTAGGGTAACAATATTGAAGTCATATTGACCTCTTTAGGGCCTGCAGTTGCACATTGGCTTATTAAATATATTTTTTTTTCATTTATTTTTATTAGTTGGAGCCTAATTACTTTGCAACATTGCAGTGGGTTCTGTTATACATTGACATGAATCAGCCATGGACTTACATGTATTCTCCATCCCAATCCCCACTCCCACCTCTCTCTCTACCCAAGCCCTCTGGGTTTTCCCAGTGCACCAGGCCCCAGCACTTGTCTCATGCATCCAACCTGGGCTGGTGATCAGTTTCACTATAGATAATATACATATTTCAATGTTGCTCTCTTGAAACATCCCACCCTTGCCTTCTTCCACAGAGTCCAAAAGTCTGTTCTGTATATCTGTGTCTCTTTTTCTGTTTTGCATATAGGGTTATCATTACCATCTTTTTAAATTCCATATATATGTGTTAGTATGCTATAATATTCTTTAACTTTCTGGCTTACTTCACTCTGTATAATGGGCTCCAGTTTCATCCATCTCATGAGAACTGATTCAAATGGATTCCTTTTAATGGCTGAGTAATATACCATGGTGTATATGTACCACAGCTTACTTATCCATTCATCTGCTGATGGGCATCTAGGTTGCTCCCATGTCCTGGCTATTATAAGCAGTGCTGTGATGAACATTGGGGTGCACGTGTCTCTTTCAGATCTGGTTTCCTTGGTGTTTTATTTTAAGCATCCAATTTCATCCTCTGAACTTCTCCCATCAATTTTTCTACTCCTTGCCCAAATCTTCTGTATTTATGTTACTTAATTTCTTGTTTTCACTTTTACTATTTTAGGCATGAATTATAAAATAAATACATAAAGGAAATAAAATTGAAATAATGTACAATGTTTCCTTAATTATTGAGCTATTTTCTCTATATGCTTTTGAGAATTAAAAGTACCGATATGTTAAAGCCATATGGGAATTGCTCACCAAGGTAATATATCATGTAACCAGGCTTCCCTAGGTAGGACATTTGAAGTACAGGTTAATAATATGTTTTCAGGAGGGAACCAAAAGAGTAACTGTTCAACATGTCCTTATCCATTCCTTATCCAAGTTATCACAGAGGGCTAAGTGGATTAATCCTGTTCTTTTTGAGACAGACCTGCCACTAAAAACAGAACATGAAAATAAGGTTAAAGGGACTGAGAAGGAATATAATATATTTCAAGTATATGGCCTTGAAATAGAAGATGGAATCACCTTTAAGGTGACATTGCTCAAAGCATGCAAATTTGACTATATAGTAAAAACACCTGAAATGTAAAACAAGGCCATTGGGTTTGGGGCTTGAAATGATAATGAAGGACACCAATTTCCATAACTCTTAAATGTGCTGTAAAATGATTGTCTCTAAAGCCTGGTATTATCACTTACATTTAATGAAAATTTTCAGTAAAAGAAAAAGAGTGTGTTTGGTGGACCACTACCTTACCTACAAAAATATTCCACAGATTTCACTGTTAGCTGTAAGAATGAGAACGGTGAAGTTAATTGGTGTTGTCGTATGTGAGTTACCATACCAAAACAGGGACATGACTTGATGTTGCCACCACTATCTAAAGGAATGTCCTCTATTCTGAGATTGCCAAGATTTCTAGGTAGTGTTCATGAGAGTCTGGATAGTCCAACAAGCAGAAACTCTGCTCAGAGCATTTTGTTGTAAAATATATTAGCGATCAGCCATTGATTTTGATCCCTGCTTACTCCATGACTTTTCTAGTTGATTAAAATGAATGATTCCTTTTTTTTTCATATATATCTCTATAAATACTAATGAATTTTAGGGAACTGGGGCCTGAAATAACAGGCTTAGAATGAGTTCTTATAGACTGTAAACTTCATGAGAGCAGCAATCATTTTATAATTTGAATTCCCACATTTGACATTCATATAAATATAATAAACATTTATCAACTTGGAAAATTTTCTCAGTAAATAGGAAAGGTCAATTTTGATAACAGTGCAGGTTATAGGATGTTGTTGAGTAATGTGTATAACATTCGATTGGTTATTACATTTCTTTATTGATAATTCAGCAAGTACTTAAAATGTGTCATTTGCAAGCTCTAAGTTTTAGCTGATGTGAAAGACACATAAAGAAAAGAAGGTAGACCCAAAACATATGGAGGATCTGATATCTGTTCTCATCTTGGTAGGAGGACATAGAGAAGTTCCTTCTAACCCCAGGAAAGACTTGAGACAAATTTGTGAGAAGGGGCTTAGCATGACTGAAAGTAGTTTGTGTGATTGTAGCTCCTGAAGCACAGTATAAGAGAAAGATAATGAAATTACTAAGGAAAACATATATCATGTCTTCAAAGAAATTGTTAACCAGGCTGATACGCTACAGTCACCACCAGGAATTTATTCTGTATCTGTGGGAACAGATAAGCAACATCTAAACATGCATTAGGAAATATAGGGTGGAATCTCGGTGGCAGGAAATAAATGCGTGCCTTAAGGACAGCAGAGCAAAAATGACCCTATAAAATACAACATGTAAAATACATATCTTGTGCTATCAATGGGCTAGTCATTGATTACATAATGCTGTCTTTGGTATCACAGTAATGATTAATGGTGATGATGCTTTTGGACATGCTGCAATATCTATATTTTCAAGTACAAAAGGAATTTCTATAATGAAGACAATCTGCTCTCTAACCTCTTAAGACTCTATCAATAACATAGATTATAATGTAAATGTGAATGCACTAAGGCACATATAATGTATTTGCATTTGTTTTTTTTTTTTTTTGTATCTGTTTCTGCACCCATGCCATCCTAATTAAGATACCCATTCGTTTCAGCAGGGATGATTTCAGAAATCACTTTATATCCATTACCTCTTTTCCCTTTGTTCTCATTTTCTTGCTTATAAACATTAGATCAGGTATCATTTACCTAGGACAGATAACAAATATTTTCTGGAACAGAAGAGTTTATAATACAGTGCAGTGAAATAGCCAGACATTGATCCAAAGTCTCATTTCCACTTCATTGTTTGAAAGTAGCAAATGAAACTATGACGAACATATAATTTTATTGCTCAATTACAAGAATTATAGGTATTTGTTGACATCTCCCAATGTAAATTTTAATCTTCATTAGGCTCCATAATTTCACACTTATTTGATAGGTCAGTTTTAATTAGCATGGTTTTCATATAATGATGACTGTTGATAAGTTGACTTGAAAGAGAGGAGGCAGATGTATAAGTGGTCATTGGCATTGAGGACCATGAGTTGCCTCTCTGTTGCTGGTTAGGATAAGGACTGTCATGGGCTGACATATCTCTATAGGTAACTGGAAATTTAGAAGGCTCCAGCATCAGTCCAGAATAACTGCTCTGTGATGGAGAAACGATGGCATTCTGAGAAGTAGGCATCGTTGTAGTAGCAATGTCCTCAAGGTGGCCATTTACTTGAGTGTAGCTGCTTTGTAAGTGCCAATTAAAAATGCTCAACTGATTTAAAACAGCAGATTGATCTACCACAATCTGTTCTGTTTGTCTAACTGACATTGACGATGGGGAAGGTAAGTCACACGGAGATAGGGCACTTTTATTAGCGACTATCTGGCTGGTATAAAGCTTTTGTATGAAAGGCACACTTAAACTTGTGGAGGCTGAAAATGCACTCTCTCCATTAGTTTCAGGAAGAAAATCAGAGTTATGATCATCTGTGTCGACCCTGGCTTTAACACGCTTCATCTTGTAATCTCAAACTAATGAAGATATTGGAGACACATTGTTAATCCCAACTCTTCTTGTCATTCTTACTAAAAGTTGGGGATAGCCTCTTTTGAAATTTGGATTATAGTAGATCTGTTTCTAAGATGGAAGGATACAATTATTTAATTTCTTTATAAACCAAGGTAAAACTGGCAAATACATTTAAACCATAACAATGTATAGCTTTAATGATACCAATTAAATAGCATCAAATGAAACACAGCCATTAGTAGTTTTAACAGCTAACATGTTAGAAATAATTATGCCCCTCAACTAAAAATGCTTGGTACATATACAGTAAATACCACTTTAAGTAGCTTCAGGACTTGTATCTGATTTCAAGTTGGTAGGAAATCTTGTTAAATATCAAATATTTTAGCCTCCAGATGTTCTCAACTTCAAAAAATTAAACTTTTGAACAATTTGCTATCTCAATTTTTAATTGTTTTATGAACATGCTTTCTAATTCACATGGTTTAATCTTACATATTCCCAAGAAGTGAATATTTTGAAATACCTTGCTAAAAGAGAGATGTTGTTTTCTTCTTCCAGAAAGCAGATCTTTGAAAAGTTTGTCACTTTTTACTAAACCCATATAGGTTAAGCTGCCGAACTAAGCTTTTCATACTATTGGTTTCAAATACTCTGAAAGGCGCCTTTCTTTCCAAGACTTCTTTCTTGAAGAGTTCTTCGTTGGTCACTATAAAAGTGCCAAGCTCATCCCACCAAATAGACTCAAACTGATCATTTTCAACTATTTCCCACAGTTTTTGAGGAAAGGTGAGTGAAAGAGAAGCATTCATCTCATCTGTTTCAGAGACAGAAAATGTGTAATGTGGCCTTTTTATCACAACTTTCTCATACAAAGTCTGAAAAGCATATTCTTCAATCATAGATCTCAAAACTTTTGGCCCCAGTAAGTGTATAATCATACAAAGAAGACCTAATGGAGGTTTCTGAACCAGTTGATTCATCTTTTGGAGGAACATGTTGAATTTCTGAAGAAATATGTGCCATCTTAGTTCAATCTTTCTTCAGGTAGTTTTCTCATTTGTCTGGCTTTACACACTGCAACTTTAAATTCTGCTTGGCTGTCCTACAGAGATAAACTCTCTAGATCATCACAGTGGTTCTGAAACTCAAAAGTTGTAACATCACAAAATCATTGGTCTCTTAGCAATCGAAGCTGTGACATCACAGTCACTGGTCTCCTAGCAATTGTTGGGTAGCATTCAACCAGTGTTTACTTCAGCATCATGTTAAAATACAGGCTGCTTACATAAATAGTAACCAAACCATGATGCCTGCAAAATTTAATTCCTAAAGAATTTTTACACAGAAAAATCACATCAAGAAATATACCTGGTTTCTGAAATAAAAGTGATTTATCACCCTTCTATACACATTCTTAATATTCAGTACTGTTACCCAACCAAAGTTGGGTCTACTGGCTTCTGTGTAATAAAGCCAATCAACTGAATGTGGGTTTCAGTGAAAGCATGTGTTTATTGTAGGACTAAGCAGGGTGTCCTAGGAGATGGTGCTTCAAAGTCCCACACTCCCCAAATTGTTTCAAGAGAAGTATTTTAATGACATATTGAGGTTGGGCCATGGGGTGTGTAATCAGTTTTGGGACAATCTACTAATGACCTGCTACTGAGGATATCAGGAGTCAACATAATCAACTGTCTGGTTCCAACTACTCTGTGGTATATGCACTTAAATTTCAGTCTGGTTGGGACTTTAGCATCTCTAAAACTTCACAGGATATTGCTCAGAATGTTATCTATAGCCATTGAGGAGGAACAAAAGATCATTGACTTTGCTATATCTTTGTAATTCTATATTGCTTGATTATTTTCCTTTGTTTCTGACTTTTCTAGTTTCTTGATTAAAATGAATCTTGGAACACGAGGAGGTCAACAATCTCCTACCTCTCTCTCTCTCTGTTTTCATACTTTTCAATCTTAAGAAGAGACTGCTTAGAAAAAGAAAGGAAATTAAGTGCTGGACTTAGGGCTAAATTATAAATATGACTGAAAATCTCAGTTGCAGGTTCAATTTTTTTTTTTTTTTTTCAGTTTGCCCATGTCTTGGAGTGTTTGAGTCAACAAAAAATTTGGCTATTTCCTGTTGAGATGGAGCATTGAGTTGGAAATAATTCTGAGATCTAATTTGTTATCAATATTTTCTGTTATGCAAATGTATCTGTCTCTATATATATGCATATGTATATATAAGCATATATATTGTCATTAAACCTGTACAAACATTTGAAAATTGGTAAATATTGGTTAAAAGAAATGAGGGGAGTGATATAAAACACTCCTCATATTTGAGATGCATCCAAGAAAACATATTTTGAAGTATTTCCACTTACACACACACATACACACATATATGCATATATGTAAAAATATAATTTTAGGCAACTTTACTTAGGTGGCCAAACACTGCGCTTGCCCCAAAGCTAATTTAACTTAATGAACTGTTTGGGAAGCCCAGTATTACTTAATGATTTTCTAGCCAAATATTTCTGATCCTGTTTCTGAAAGTATCTCCCTTAATCTAGCTCATCTTCCACTATTCTTTCTGTATTAAGAGATAGGATTCATACTTATGAGGACACCTTGAGCCCATAAAATTGCAACTGTCATTTACTTAAAGATATTGTTTTAAGAAAGCTATTGCCATCCTCACAATGGATACAGTTTTAAATATCCAAGACTAGTAACATAGAGACATGTCTGAGCCACATGCACAGTGGTCAACTAGCTGGAGTTTAGATAACAGCTACCCACTTCATGGGTAAAACAGATGCACAGGGCACTGTGCAGAGATCATAATCAGACTCTTCTTGCTAACTGATCATTGAAATTATATGGTATATACATAAAAATCACTTCTCCATAGTTCAGTCTGTAAAATTTTTTTTCATCACTTTGAACTTCTGGTACCAAATATTTAAAGAGAAATCATTGATGATAAAAATTTCTCTCTCTTCATGCTACAGTGGTTCAGCTTCCTGCCCCCTCCACATCATATCTTTTCTTTCTTGTCCTCCTTCGTATTTTTCTATTTGCCCATTATAGAAAATCTAAGTAAATAACATGAACAGACTCAATATATTATGTTAATGGAGAAATATATTATACACTGTATATTTTGTCAACATTTTACCCAGTTGTCACAGAAGCATGGCACAAATGCTCCAGAAGGAAACTTAAAACCATCAGTATTATATATAAGAAGTAACTATCACCTTAGAGTATGCTGAGAAAATAAGTTCTTATCTAAAATGCTGAGGGAAGACAAAGGTACAAGAATACAATAATTATAAATGTTGATAGGAAAACATAGGGTTAATAGTACATTTGAATTCCCAATATTACACAAAGTAAGATCATGGCATCTGGTCCCACTGCCTCATGGGAAATAGAAGTGTAAAAGGCAGAAGCAGTGACCAATTTCCTCTTTTGTGACTCTAAATTCACTGCAGATGGTGATGGCGGCTATAAAATGAGAAGACAGTTACTTCCTGGAAGAAAAGCACTCACAAATTTAGAAAGTATGTTACAAAGTGGAGACATGACTTGACCAATGGAGGCACATAGAGTCACATCCATGGTCTTGCCAGTAAGCATGTACAGATGTGAGAACACCAAACTGCTCTTCTGTGAATGACTTGTGAGTGTCTATTGGATTGCAAGATCAAGCCAGTCAAACATAAAGGAAATCAGCTCTGGAGATGCATTCAAATCACTGGCACCAAAGAGGAATTTCCAAAGCTTTGACCAACTGACCAAAGAGCTGACTCTCTAGAAAAAATACCCTGATTCTAAGAAACAATGAAATCAGGAGTAGACATGTGTTAGAGAGGAGGAAAAGATTGTATACCTTCACACAATCAATGGACTTGATCTCAGGCAAAACATGGAAGATGGTGAGGGGCAGAGACACCTCATGCACTGCAGTCCAAGGGATCACAAAGAGTCAGACATTGCTTTGTGACTGAACAACTACAAGATTTTAATAAAATGGATCTTCCAGTGTCATGGTGAGGTCTCATAATGTTAGAGGAATAGGAGGCACAGTCCACTTTCTCCTACACAAATCCATCAAAGGATATACTACACAAGGAACACCTTCCAGAAACTGATTTGTGAAAGATGTTGATGGGCCCTAGAAACTGAGAAAGGAAAATAGTCTCTTAAAAAGGAAGTAGGACAAAATAAGAGACATAAGGGAGGAAAAGTTTTAGGGATGGATACCTGTCTTGGAGAGGGAGTCATAAAGGAGGATAAATTTTCACAATATAGGAAACCCTCTCTCATAGGTGTCAGTGGGAGAAAAGTGTCATAGGTGTCAGGGGAAAAAAGAAAACACACATATGCACACACACACACACACACACACACACAGATTATGTCAATAAATGCAATTACTAGCCAAGAAGTGGCTTAGATGTTCCTGTCCACTGTCATCTATGGGGCCTGGGAGGGAGGCCTGGGATGTATCAAACAGACTATGATTAGAACCAAGCTTTAGTGCCCTGAGGACAGCTAAGGTGACATAGAAACTTAAGCCATGGGAACACTAGAAACAGAAATTTTAGAAAAATCCTTTCCTTTGAGAAGATTCTAAGGCCACATATTGAACCATGTCACACTCACAGAACAGAAGACTGTGCACTAGAAAATACAAAAGGAGACCAATCCAACTTCCATTTAAGACTCTTCTCCCCATGGAGGGAGAGAGAAATTCATATGACTGCCAGAGGCAGAAGGAAATAGGCTACTGTTATCTTGGCCCCAGAGACATCCCCTACCAAGCTCTAAGCTGGTTGACAGTTGCTAATGATGAATTCCTGGATTCATGGACAGTTCACATAGGCCAAGATCATAATAGCCTTGGGTCAGTTACACTGACGAAACCCGTGGCACACCTGAGACTGTGCCTTCTGGCACAAGAAGCAAACTGAATGGCTGAGACCAGAGAGTGGCATAAGATGCATGGCCCAACTGGGACTGTGCTTTGCCCACTACACAGTCACTTGAGATTTTGGACTTGGGAAGAGCACAAAGCACATAGCCAAACATTGTCAGTTCCCTTGCCGAGCACCTAAGTGCCTGATTGGCTTAGACCTGGGAAGTGCAAGAAACACAGGTCCCACTTGGGACAGTGCCCTCATGTAGGAACTGGGAGGCAGAGCATGGTGGACCCAGAAAGTACATGTCACATTTGCCAGTGGCAAGACCAATGTGGTTCATCCACCTTGAACACCCCCACAGATACCAACGGTATTTGTTTTCAGTGTCCCACCTCTCCCCACCAAAACACTGAGCAAGTAGGGTGAATGAGTGTACTACACCCTTGTTTCATGTTGAAAGTCAGATATGGAGAGGCTTTCAAATAAAAGAAAGAAATATAAACAAAGAGGCGTAAATCAACAAAGAAGTGACAGGTTTAATGGAATAAGTGTGCAATTAAGGCCGAGACTGTTCAATTGAGGGACAGCAGCAGCCTCTGACAACAAGAACATTATTCAACAAGAGACTATCTGACACTGTACTGACACCACAAAGCACGCAACAATTTCTTTGAATATCTGAGATCGATTTCTATAAGATTTCTTTAACTTTTAACAATTTTCATCCTTTATTATATCCTAAACTCTTATTTCTATTAACTATAATTCCATTTCCGAACAAGCAAACAAATAAATCTATTTTTAAACACTTATTTTATTTTAAACACTTCTTTTATGTATATGAGAATGAATTTGGCCTACATTTTATTTACACTATTTATATGAGTCTAAACTTTATTCTCGGTTCTTAACTTTTGCTTTCCAAAAATTGTAATCAGTGTTGTAAATTTACAAACAAAATCTTTAGGATATGACTTCACTTACATATTTGTTTCCTAAATTGTTTACTCTCTCCTCTTTTAACTCTTCTTTTTTTCCTCCTATGCACATCTTTCTCCCTCCTCCCTTTTCTCTGCTGTATGGAATT